GAGTGTGGGAGGGTCTCATAGGATCATTACTCATTGTTTGAGAGTAATGATTTTAACAATGAGTAATGATCCTATAAGACCCTCTCACACTCATATGTGCAGGAGCCCAAAGGATCACCATTAAATTTGGCATAGATCTCTAGAAAAGTTATCACATGGGTGTGGGACTTGACTTTTTTAGAGATCTATGTCAACTTTAATGGTGATTCTGTGGGATCCTACACACATGGATGTGGGAGGGTCTCATAGGGTCATTACTCTTAAACAATGAATAATGATCTTATTAGACCCTCCCACACCCATGTGTATAGGAATCCAAAGGATCACCATTAAATTTGGCATAGATCTCTAAAAACGTTATCACATGAGTGTGGGACTTGACTTTTCTAGAGATCTATCCCTAATTTAATGGTGATCCTTTGGAGTCCTACACACATGGGTGTGGGAGGATCTCATAGGATCATTATTCATAAACAATTACATTTTATTTGGATCAGCATTCTCAAAATAGCTTTCACAGTATTCTTTCAAATTTCTTTTCCAATGAGTTAGTAACTATCACTCTCTTTTTCTCTAATATTATTTTTATTGTTGATGGAGTATATAGTAATGAGCAAGTGTACTATGCTCCAATGGGAGTATATTGTGCATCACTCCCTCGCCCAAAATACCTATTTAGGACGATTTTAAGTCCAAAATTTTGGGAACCATATAAGAATAATTAGATGATTATTTTAAAAATAAAATATTCGAATTTTGAGTTTTAGAATATATAAATTTAGCATTACAAATATTGGACGGTCACAATTCAATTTTGAGGTACTATTTTTTTCTATAACATCGACAGTTTCTTTAGGAACATTTTTTAATTGAGGTTAGTATAGGGGTTTTTGAGATTACATCCCCAAAATTTGAGATCCAAAAAGTATCCGTAGCATGTGTTTTGCCCGAAGGAACAAATAGATAGCAGTCTGCAGGAATAGGAAGTCTTTTGGCTATAATATTTCTCCCCCTCCCCCCCCCC